GTGACAATTTCAACCACCCTACTGGAGGTGGACACTAGGTTTGTCTGTTCATGGCGATTCTTCTGCTTACCTGTGTGTGGTAAGCAGAAGTGATTCTTCAGCTGTCCTGACTTCTCCCTACAGTAGGGAATTTTCTAAAGACAGATGATGCATTAAACTGGCTGAACATTAAGTTTGTGTGGGTGTGCTTAGTGCCTGAATGGGAAATGGTCCCAGAAACTTTTTGTAAACCATCCAGAATTCCATCCTGGAACAAGAAGGCATATTGACATCACTATCACCAACAAGTGCTATTGAGGATGTCTGTTATCAAAAGTGTATCTCCTGTGGAGGGCAAAGAGGTTAGCTGACCCATCTGCCACTGCCAGGAAGATCTGTCTGCAAATTCATGGAGGGGGGAGGTGACAGCAAAAGCAAGGGAGCTCTGTGTCTCAGTCACCGTCTATGGTTCCATGATTACTACATCGACTTCCTCCATCTTTGCCTCTTTCAGCAACAAACTTGGAAGGCTCAAATGAGAAAATGAAGATCACATTTTTTTCTTTTCCTTTCTACAGATGGCAATTTCCTGCACCATGTGGAAGATGAAGGATGACATGAAGAAAGAACTTCAAGAATTCATCAAGGAACAGGTAGGGCAGGAGGCATCTTCTGAGACAGTGGCTCTCAGAGACATACTGATAGTCCAGGAGAGGAATTTGAATGAGATGCTGTAGGGCCATATTATGTGAGGTAGGGGACTTGGCAGGATTTGATTTGCATTCAAAGCGAGATGGTCAATTCAGAAATGCCTTTGTCCTGGGTCTTCTTGCCCTCAGCCAGTTCTGCTGTGCTATGATCACTCTCCTCTTCATTTCAGGAGCTCACCACACGTCCTCCATTTAAAAGCCTTAATGTCTTAATGTCAAACCCTCTGTTATGGCACGCCATCTTCATGAGAGGCAAAATGAGCTACTCACTTCATGTAAGTGACACTTCCAACTGGACAAAATGGGAAAAACTCCTTAATTCTTATTTGCATGATGATATTGAGAACTTTCTGGAAGAGTATGGCCATCGTTACAAATTATACAAGGGTATTGCAACAGCTGTGGTGGGCACAGCAGCTCTAGGGCTAGCAGGGACTGGAATTGGAGCTGGTGTGGCAGCTGGCCTTGTGACTGCTGAAATGGCTGTGTTAGGCACTGGGGCTCCTTTTGCCATTGCATCAGCAGCTGGAGGGGGCATCTTAGCAGGTGTTGGGGCAGCAGCTGGAAATTGGATAGGATGCAGGAAAGGAGCACATAATGTTCAGGAAGCCCAGCTGGTAGAGATGCAAACTTTATAATCACAAAGCATGGATGACTCAGAGTTTAAAGAAGATAATGAGATGACAGAGCCCATCCAATGATGATTTGAGAGGGCTTAATGTCTGTGGTGGGAAACTGACCACATTTTTGGATGCCTTGAGAAATTTTGAAAGCAGTGTACCACTCAGAAGCTTTTTCCTCTTTTGCTCTTAGCCTTTTCTCTCTTTTATGTAAATAATGCAGAAAGCCTAGTTGTTCCTCCATTAGGTTTTTAAGAACCTAAGCACCCCAAAATGAAGAAGATGCCAAGCAAAGGTAGTTCTATGGTCTCAAAGACCTGTTTTTTGCATGTCAGTTACCTAAGAACAGGGTTGTCCTATGGATGGAAAGGAAAGGTGATCAGAAGCAACTTCCTGTTTCCTCCAGGTTGTGCTCCTCCCCTGCCTTTACACACACACACCAGGGAGCACTCACTGGTCTTCTCTGTTTCACACTCCTGTTTAAAAACTGGCCATTCTTCCTCCCTCTTCTTTCCTCACACCACTGCTTCATATTTCAGTACTCTTTCTCTTTCTTTCCCTCTTGCCCAGCATGACCATCCTGTCCTCTTTCAAAATCTAGTTTCACTTCCTCTCTTTCCAAACCTAAAAGTTAAACCCAGTCACAGGGAAATCCATCATCTCTCATGCCCATCAGTGGGCCCTTTTTTAGTGCATTATGACAAGAGTGTTCCTAAGCATGTGCAGAGTGACCTTCTATTGCATCAAGGCAGAGAATTCCGCAAAGGCTACAGAGCCAGCAGTTCTCAGATTACAGTAGGCTCCTTGGCATCCAGCACCTTGTTCAGAAAAATAAACTCCCTGTTCCTTCTAAAGCGTGGGTCCTCAAACTACGGCCCGGGGGCCAGATCTGGCCTGCTATGCCCATTTATCCAGTCCGCCATGCCCATTTGGACCTGCTGCATGCGCGTGCACACCCACGCATGCCCATGCTGCCGCCCACCTTGCCCCACATGCAGGGAGGCAGTGGTTTACTCACTCAGAGAAAACAATCTCCAAGTGAGCAAGCTGCTGCCTCAAGTGCCTGCCTTGCACCACATGCCTGCCCCTGCCTCCCCTCCCCTTCCCTCTCTGTGTGCCCTGCCCCCACCTCAGCATGTGTGCCCACACACCCCATCCCCATGCCAGCCCTTGCGCCCCACTGGCACCACCTTTCCAGCCTGCGCTCAGCACCAGCACCTTTCAACTGGCCTCCTGGTAGAAAAGTTTGAGGACCCCTGTTCTAAAGTATGAAGAACACATACACAAACACATACACAAAGTAGAACAGGCATTACCTCTCAACTGCCAGATACCCTCTGGGGAGCATTTAGGATTTTGGATGCAGATGTGGGTGGAGGCGTGTGTCTAGACTGTAGGGGAAAGTTATGGGGAGGTGGCTTTCAGTCCACCCACAGTAAAAAGAAGGGGGAGCAAGAGAAGGCCATGATTTCCACATACCAACAGTGATGGCACACAATGACTCTCCCATCCTGTTCATGCCAGTTTACTTTCTGTGTGGATAAATATTAAAAAGGAAGGAAATGCTTTGCTCATGCTTACCTCATTGCTGCAGAGAGGTCATAACCTTTACTGCCAAGGAGTCATTCAAAGAAAGGCAAACTTTCCAGAATCCATTCTCCCTTCCTGATAAAAAGTATGGGCCCTCCAGGCCAGGAGTAAATTGTAAATAAGGCTGAGCCATAGTTACTGCATCCCTGTCCTTTGAGCACGGCAGTTTAGAAGGTCTTTTGCCCTGGGGGCTAGAAAGTTCTCTGGGACTGGGTGGGGGTCAGGATACCAGTCTATTTTAGCTTCTTTTTCCTGTAGCTAACAGGGCAATTAGACAACTAACAGAGCAACTCTGCTGCTAGGCAGCTTCCAGGGGGGCATGGGATTGTCCATCTTCCTCGTTCAAGGCCAGAATTGGGCATCAGAGCTGGGGATTGGTACCCAGATCCCTTTCCCCACCTTATAGCTGCAACTAAAAGAACCAGTCCAGCAGTTTCTCCAATGTGGTACAAGTGACCTCAGAGAAGAGACTATTGGGCATCAAAGGGTCGATGTCAATGGCAGCAAGATATGAAATATCCTGGTGGTACCTCAGCATGCTTCCCTCTTCCTCTGTCATACCACAGTTTGGTGGCCATCCAGCTCTGCTGCAGAGAGGGAGATCTCCAGGCCTCCAGAAAGTAAGGGCATGAATCTCCTCTCATGATAGATATCTCTCTATTTCCTTTCTCGGAAGTTCAAGGAAACATATGGGCACAGGATGTCGATTATATGCTAGCACAATGCATGACATAGCACAGTAGCTTTACTGATTAGCCTTCACTTACAGTAGCTTTAGAGCAGCTTTCACTTTGTGACAGTGTGGAGGTCTGAACCAACAGGAACTTGCCTTCAGTCTGGGCCTAAACCAGCAGTTCTGCTTTTGTCTTTATAGAATTGAATGTAGGCTCTGTGTGTGCATTAGAAGCTGATGAAGGCATACTCAGAGTGAAAATTGTGCTATGTGGAACACAATCATTTCCTGTAAGCAGGAAGCTTGATCTGCAACTATATAAAATTTCCTTTTGATGGTCCTTGCATAACTGTGTGCAAATTCAACATAAGTTTTGTTCAAGCAAGTGTTGTATCTTTATGTATGGAATAAACAGTTTAAATACACTCTCAGGCCAGAAACTATTATTCCATACTCTGCTTTTCTTTCTTTTCCTTTCTTTTTTTTTCTTTTCCCCCTTTATCTTGGGCAGGGTAAAAGGGTAGGGGTGGGAAAGTGACAAGAAAAATGTAGGACATCTGGAGGACATTCTGCAAGAAGGCCTCTAATTTCTTGTGTTGGGGCAGGGCAGAGAAACATCTTTAAGCTCCTCACAGTTTCCCTGTCAGATCACCATACATGATTGTTTCTTCTGTATTTCAGATCTATGGGCTTATAATTCTTTTGCTGTATCCAAATTCAGATGTTTGCTTTTGAACTGGGGGAGATGACTTCCTTGCACTGTCATTGCCAGAGAAGCTATTTTTACCCCAAGAAATGTTACACAATATGTCAGCTCTTCCTATGGAATTTGGTAACCTGCAGTGCAGGGGGAAAGGGAAAAAGAGAAGGGGTTCCTTAAATCTCTTGCAGAAAGTCCTTCCATGAGCAGTGGAAGTGGGATCCTGCAAACAACTTCTGGCATCCATTTCTTGGGACAAGATATTCCAAGATACATTGTTTTGTGAGGTTCAACCAAATGTCTGTGGAACCATCTGTTCTGATATAACAAACAAGTTTTATTTAGCTATTCAGCTGAGAATTTCTATGTATGAACTGATGGTTTTCTTCCCTTTAATTATCCCAAAGTCCATAATTAATTCTGCAACTTCTCAAAAGCCCCAGTGGAGTTTCAGTGACCAGCAGCATAAAGAATAGTGCTTGGTATTAAATGCATCCAGTGCATGTAAGAGCTGGTGCTGTGTATGGAATTTGGAGAATTTGATTTTAGAAGGATGATTTGTGTTGGTTGTTAGGATGTTGGGCATGAAGGTTGTGTTTCTGATACTCCTTCCGCTTGTGGAAGGCAAAGCTCAAAAAGTCAAATGCAGTGTCCATGATCCACAGCCCCCACTTCATAAATACTATCATTTTGGAAACCTGGTCATTGGTGCGATTGTTTCTCAAACGATGATTGTCGTCAGTCCTATAGAATTCAATGAAGAACCTGTGCCACCAGTGTTTGGGGACCTTGCGTAAGGAGTTCGTTTCTGCTTTTCTCATCATTTGTTTTTCCAGAGACATCATTCCTAGACCTACAACACAGCTAGTTTTGAAAAGTGACAGAAAAGTGACAGGATTAAAGAAGTTCCAAGGGGAAAAATATTCTAAACTGATGCTTTATGAAAATATGCTAGATTTCACCTCTGTTGATATGGAAGGAAAGCACTCTTCTTACTGACAGGAGTGGAAAATTTAGTTCTTGATTTCCATTCTTGATTGATTTTAGTGTTTTACACTGGAAATTTCTATATGCATCTTCAGAACCAATCATGCATTTTCACTGCCAGTTTAGGAGCACTGTTTCTTGTAGGAAGGATTAAAACACTCACCTCTGTCCTTGTACCCAAACTTCTTACATGTGTTTTTCATGGGATACTGAACAGGGGAAAATGGCTGCCTTGCTAGTTCTCTCTCTCTCTCTCTCTCTCTCCTGCACCAGCCATCATCAGAGCAATTCCAAGGGAAATGACCCAGTAGTGATGGATCATGTAGCACTACCCTCTTAGTGTTCAGTGGCCCCTATCCAAATTGGGACTGCATGTACTAACATTAGCATGAGAACTCAAATAAGCCGTGGCTACATAGTATACCATAGTACAATCTTTATTTGGCTTTCATCAATAGTCCCTAATGAGTACAGTCTGGATTAATCACATGTAAGTGAGTATAGAATTTCAAATTATCAGTTATTTTACTTCATTTTACATTTTCTTTTCACTTATTTTATTGCTGTAATTAACATTCTTGTTTTGATGGCAGAACAATTGCTTTCCTCCTTCAGTTTCTGTTTTTCTACATTCCTCTATGAATACGATGCCTCAGCATCCTTGACCCTGTTCAGTTCCTTCCTTCTGCTTCTCACTTCATTTAGTACATTCCCATGTAGCATGAATGATTATCTAGATATTTGCTCAAATGTCAAAACACAGTGGCAGAGTAACTGGCTGGACAATTATGCATTAGAAGGAGAAAGCCTCTAAGATCTTTGCGTACAGGGCTCCCCATTGTCAGAAGCTCTGTCCAAGCATCTTCGTCTTTTTCCCTAAGAGCTCCTGGGGTTTGGGTGTACTGCCACTTCAAGTTACATCTGCATGAACTGTGATGGCAATCAGGGTTCAATTCCACATGCCACAATGCAACTTGAAAAGAGCGATGTTGTAAAGGATTCCAGTGAGAAGTTGGAGCTGATTCTGTGCCTGCATTTTTCCTTCAATTTCATGAACATTTCCTCATTTCACGGTGAAGGCTCGCATTTTTTTGCTTCATTGTCAGGGTGTTTGTTTAAATCATGTTTGATTCATGTTCCGTCCCTTTCCTCATTGATGCAAGAGGAGGTGAGAATATGTCTGTGTGTTTTATCCCTGTTACACCATCTCTCACTTGTTCTGCAGCCTCCAAGGCTGCTTGAGCTTTCCAGTCTGAAAGAGATGAATGAGAGGAGTTCCCTATCTCAGGTAATGCTTTCCTTGGCATTAGTTGTGAGAAGCCAAGGATGTTACAAGATTCTAGAATTGAATTGGGAACACTCACCACAGTCCTTGGCAACCTTTTAAGTCAGGTGAGCACAATCTGAACCAACCCATGAGAGTATCTCTGAAATTGGGGTCTACTTGAATTTCTTTTAAAAAATATGACCTTTTCCATCGATGTCATTCAGAATGGTCAAAGTATTGTAGGAGAAATATTCTGTACCATGCTAGAAATAGATGTTTCTAGGGATCCTTTCTTGTTCGTGTTTTAGCATAACTAGTGTCATTGTTTTCCATTTTCTTGGAAAGTTCAGTTTTTAGTTTTGTTTTCTTGTTTCATCCAAGTGTAGTAGAACATCAGGCTAATGATGAAACAGAGTATTATCAGTACAGTAATGCATTAGAATATTGAGGAAGAGGTTGAACACAGCAGTTACAATTTTAGGAAATGTGGAATAACTTTCTGATGCAGAATATAACTTCCATTCTAGCATTATGACGAAGAATTACCAGCACATTTTGGCCTTGGTATTTGCAGTCAAGGAAGTCAATGAAAATCCTCAGCTGTTACCCAATCTCACCCTGGGCTTCCACATTTATGACAGCTATTACACTGCAAAGTGGGCTTATCATGCTACAATGCAACTCATATCAACACTGGAGAGCTTTGTCCCTAACTACAAGTGTGGTGTCCAGAATAACCTGATGGCAGTTATTGGGGGATTGGACTCTGAAACCTCCCTTCATATAGCAACTCTCCTGGACATTTATAAAATACCGCAGGTGAGCTATATGTTTCCTTTTAGGTGTATATTAGACCACAGTTAATCACTGGGTATCATTTTGTCAATCCAGTTCTACGTGCACCTCCATAAAGATATGCAGTTGGATCTCAACTAACTTAACTACATGAAGTTACTATTGAAAGTAATGTAGCTTGGGAGGAAACACAAGTATCCCTTCACGTTCCTATCTAAGCACAAGTAACTTGTTCTGGACTACTGCAAGTTAGTTAGTAAAGCAGTTAAAGAGTGGAAATGTAAATACAAGGTGTTCCAGTGCACTTCTTTCTTGGCCATGGCTAATTCAGATACCACAGGAAGTATGGGGAAAATCACAGGCTCTAGTAAGTGCAATACTGTTACTGATTTTCTTATCTCCCCAATGTAGCTCATTTATGGCCCTGCTCCAGTGATGACTGATAAAGCACCAGGTTTATCCTTCTTCCAGATGGCTCCTCAGGAAAGCCTTCAGTATATGGGGATTCTCTCTTTGCTTCTGCATTTCAGCTGGACCTGGGTTGGAATCTTAATGGTGGATGATGGCAATGGAGAAAGATTTCTGCAAACTGCACTGCCAGTATTTTCCAATAAGGGCATCTGTTTCGCCTTCATAGCAAGAAGTCCCAAATTCAGTTATTTCTCTGAAGCTACAGACATGATACAAAAGGGGGCGGAAATATATGATCAAATTATGGGCAGCAAAGCCAATGTCTTGGTGACCTATGGAGCATCTTATTCCATTTCTATGTTCATTTGGTTGTCCTATATTCCAGAACAAGTACATGTGACGAAGAAACCAAAAGGTATGGTGTGGATTATTACTGCATTAGTAGAGCTCAGTATATATCTTTTACAGAGGAATTGGGATTTAAACTTATTCCACGGTGCTCTGGCATTTACTCGTCATTTAAATGAGCTACCAAAGTTTCACCACTTCGTTGAAAGCAGAAATCCATCCACTGCAAGAGGAGATGGTTTCATTAGAGATGTATGGAAACAGGCCTTCAACTGTGCATTCCAAAATGCAGCTACAGATGAGGTGGATGGACTGACTTGCTCTGGAGTGCAGACACTGGAAAACCTCCCTGGTCCTTTCTTCGAAACAAAAATGACTGGCCACGGCTATAGCATCTACAATGCTGTCCATGCAGTGGCCCATGCTTTGCATGCCATGGCCACATCTACACTCACATGTAATATAATAATACATGATGGCTATTTGAAGCACTCATGGAAGGTATGGGACTCCAAATCATTAGCACAACATTTTGGCTATCAAGACCATCTCATGCGGGAGAGTGGTTTTCCAAACCCTTCCTCCGATGGAGTTTTCATCTTCCTTCTTTTGTCTATCACAATAAATAACATGTTGCATTTATAGCAGCTGTTGCATTTAATCAAATAAAATGCATTTATTTATTCAGATAGCTAACATCTCTTAATTAAAAAATGGGTACACCATTTATAAATTGTTTCAGGCATCAGAAAAATACATAATACTTCAGCATGTCTGTGTTGTTTTAGATTTTAGGGCAATTCACAGCTTTCACCATCAAATCCTAAATTCTCCTGCTTATGCAACAGCTCAACTCACAAGATTTTTTGGGTAGTACGGCTCAAATGCTTCTGAAACTGATAAAGTGACAGGAAAATATTGGGCACCTTTAGTCATCATGGATGCTCCATTTCTGCATTCTGATTTGGGCCTGAAAATTCAAGAAAAAGTGTGGGAGCATGGAAAGGAAGTTGCATGCAAGCACAATTTATAACATCACATACAGGTGCTACAGGTGGCGAACCCGTAGCACTCCCAATGTTGTTGGAGACAGAGAACAGCTCCCATCTTTGCTGAGTGCTAATTCATGAAGTGCCATTAAGGATATTTGTACTCAACTCTTCTCCATCTCTTAATATTTTGTTGTAGTCAGATGGGTGTTGGGGTGTTACCACTTGACTGGCCAACATGATTGCAAGCTGCATATCATACATGGCATGGAAAATATGATTGTGCAATTTTAGGCATATCTACTGTGAAATTGGGCTAGATTTTCTACTTCCTTTCAGGATGGCTACAAATTCTCCATTACTTTCATCTAGAGTGCTCTAGAGTACTCAGTCATTTTTTTAGCTAGCCCCAAAATTATTCTCTCTCTCTCTCTCTCTCTCTCTCTCTCTCTCTCTCTCATAGTTTCCTTATAATTCTTCCTCTGATCTAAGTAATGCATTAGGAATGCATAGTCTACTCTTGTTATACAAAACAAAGTTATGATTGAGTGGTTTAGGGACACTGTCTTTTGCTTTTCAACCCAGCTCCATCACTTTCTCAGAGGTCTCTTATTTAACAACAGTGCTGGGGACAAGGTTACCTTGAACCAGAATGGGGAGTTAGTAGCTGGATATGATGTTATTAACTGGATCATTTCCTCAAACCAATCTTTCCATAGAGTGAAAGTTGGAAGGATGGATGTTGAGGCTTCTGCAGACCAAGCATTCATCATCAAAGAGGATGCCATCACCTGGCACAGCTGGTTCAACCAGGTAGGAACATCGATTTAGAAAAATGCTTGGAGAAATCCCGTATATGAGTCCTCAGATTTCCACAAGAGGTCTGATGTTGGAGTTGGGTCACTGACACCCAAGATGAAAAGACGCACACTTGCTGCTTCCCCAGGATTGCAAAAGTGTCAAAGATGGCAGGAAGGAGACTGGGAAAACTGTAATACAGTATAACCCAATGGTGAGCCAGCCGCCTTCCCCCTGGGCACACTGTAATGAAAAAAGTGACCCTTTACTGGAGTCACTTTTTATATAAATGTATCTGACATGGCTGTCTAAAATATTCAAAGACTGATGCATGGTGGGAGGATCATATTTGTCCTCTGTACCTTCTAAGTCAATCTACTTTCCTAGTAAAACATGGCCATTCAGTGGGAATTACTGGCAAAATACACAAAGACAAGACATTCTCAGGAAAAAGAAAACATTTTCTAGTTTGTTTTGTATCAAAGCCAGAAAAATGTGTCTTCTGAAGTACAGCAAGACTAGGACTAGCAATATGAATTTACTTTATATGTGCATCTCTTAAAAAAAACAAATCGATCATTTGATTCATATAGCTGATCCATTAACTTTTATTCTCTTCTGTACTTGTTCAGTATTAATTCTATCTCTTTATAATATGATAATATCATTATCATTTATAATCTCATTATACATTATAAACTCTATCACTAGAGTTTGTATCCATGAAGACTGTAAACTGAGCACAACTATTCTGCCCATCCCCCTATTCAGCTTTATTTCTGTGTTTGTAACAAATTGCCCTTTTCCAAATGTAATGTATTTTAAGAAGTGACTGTGTTTTATACACTGAATCATCTATGGAATGAGTAAACCTTGGACAAGCCCCAGAAAATGGTTCAATCATTTTAAGCCTCTATTCTCAATAGTTTAAGATTTTCTTTTGGGTATGGATTAGATGCAGCTGCAATTGATTTTGGAATTGTGGCATATCAGAAGACCAAACCTTGGAAATTATTGCTCTCTCTTCCATATCTGGTTAGGCACAGCCTGTTTCTATATGTTCTGAGAGTTGCCATCCGGGTTCCAGCAAGAAAGTAAAGGAGGGACAGCCATTTTGCTGCTATGATTGCATCCCATGTCCAGAAGGGAAGATTTCACTATGGAAAGGTAAGGAATAAGGTGATGGGGTATTTACAGTAGTTGTAGCAAATTAACTGCAATGTCCCTTCTGGGAAAACCAAGCCTCCAGATCCCTTTCTTCTTCCTGTTACCTAGATGACTTTGGTCCTACTTTTAAAGCCCTGCTGCAGATCAATTTCCTCTATTTCTAGTGTTGCTTTTGCTATAGTTTTCAGCTCTTATCTTTCTGATGATGAGGATGGGTGTGTCTTTGCTGCTGCAATCAAGTTGGCAGCAGTAGAACTGAAGTGGGTGCTGGAAGGAATTCCACAGTTTTAAGAAATTAAAATGAACAACACAACTAGAGACACTGAGAAGGCACGGTGACCACAAATGGAGTCTTACCTAGGAAAGGGTTGGACTGGGGACCTCAGGGAAGGACTGAATTGCCAGGGGCCCGAACAGCACCTATACGTGCTTCAGTGTTCTGGTGTGGTTCCTATTGTGTTAAACCTTTTTAGAAAACCAGCTGAGTTCCAATATCTCTGTGGAGTTCAAATTTGATATTTAGAATTTGAAGGGAACATGTTCAGTTACACTTTCTTGGTTTTCTGAGGGTCACTAATTTCAGCATCCTTGTGGCAAATTTTGAAATATAATCAAGGGAGCTGCAATGCATCTGCTCCCATTTGTATAAACCTATTAACAAGCTTCTATAACTAGAGGGTCAATGAGGGACAATCACAGGAGCAGCATGTAATCTGTCCTCTCACCTGAAAATAAAAAAGGCATCACGGTGGAAGAAAGTCTTAATGCAATGTGCCTTAAGGCATTTTCTTTTTCTCTTCAGATATGATTGACTGCTCTAAATGCAGAGATGGGTACTATCCAAATAAAAACAAGGACTTTTGCCTTCACAAGAAAATAAGCTTCATGTCTTACGAAGAACCTTTGGGGATCACTTTAGTCTTTTGTGCTCTTTTCCTTTCTTTGATCACAGGCTTGGTGATAGGAACCTTTATGAAGCACCACAGCACTCCCATTGTCATTGCCAACAACCGAAATCTCACATTCATTCTCCTAACCTCCCTCCTGCTCTGCTTCCTTTGCACTTTGCTGTTCATCGGGAAACCTCAGGTGGTGACATGTCTCCTTCGACAAACTGTTTTTGGCAACATCTTCTCATTGGCCGTGTCTTGTGTGTTGGCCAAAACTGTCACGGTGGTTCTGGCTTTCATGGCCACCAGACCAGGATCCAGGATGAGGAACTGGGTGGGGAAAAGACTGGCCACTTCCATCATTCTTTCTAGCTCCCTTATTCAAGTAGGCATTTGTATTGTGTGGTTAGCAACCTCCCCTCCATTCCCACATGCTGACATGAATTCAGTGATGGAGGAAATCTTACTGGAATGTAATGAGGGTTCTGTAATTCTGTTTTACTGTGTCCTAGGTTACATGAGCTTGCTGGCAAAGGTGAGTTTGGCTGTTGCTTTCTTTGCCAGGAAGTTACTGGACAGTTTCAATGAAGCCAAGTTCATCACTTTCAGCATGTTGGTCTTTTGCACTGTTTGGTTATCTTTTGTTCCAACCTACCTGAGCACCAAGGGGAAATACATGGTAGCCGTAGAGATCTTCTCCATCTTAACCTCCTGTGCTGGATTGCTGATTTGTATCTTTTCTCCAAAATGTTATATTATTTTGATGAGGCCTGAACTGAACAGCAAGGAACAGTTGATCAAAAGAAAAGTCTAAAGAAAATAATTGTCAATATCCTACGCTATAGTTCTCAGTCCAGGAAAAGCTGAATTGTTCTATGCATAGTGTGGCAGCCATAGGATTGCTCTGCCCAAGTATATCTGCTTGCTATTTATTTCATTTATTGCCACCACATTTGCAGTGATGAAGAAACCCACTTTGGACAAATTTTCCATTTTCTGACTCACCTAACAGTTCAATAGCACTATACTTGGCAGGTTTCTGTGAAGATCCTGTGCAGAAATTCCTTCAGTATCTGAGAAAATAATATGACGCAGGGTACTGGCTGTGAGTTCTGTGCATTGCAGGTTTCCTCATGTGCCCATATAGTCAGGGCTGAAATTCTACTAGAATTGTGAGACCAGTGGGGAAAATGCTACACTTTTACCCTTGTTTGAGAGTTGGCTATCGTGTCCTTTCAGTGTCCTGATACATGAACACACCCTCACATTTTCACAAGAATTGCTTGGTAGTACCTGCCTGGTGTTGCAATAGTTATTGTGAATGTTCTTTTAAGGCAGTCATGCTATCTATCTATCTATCTATCTATAAATAAATAAATAAATAAATAAATAAATAAATAAATGTGTGGGTATGTAATTTCCCCCCAAATATGCACATCTAACATCATTTTGAAATTGGAACAGAATTATGGGTAAAAACTTTCCAAAATCACTCAGAAAATAATTAGTCAGATTCACCTAATTATAATAAGGACTGGGTACAAAACTGAGGATGCAATCATATTCATGTTTAGATGGAACCCTCTCCCCCACCTTTCAATGCCCAGCATTCCCCAGGAGTCCCTTTCATGGTCTAATACACATGCTGTTGTACCCTAACGAGGTCACATCCCTGATCAAGCCCACATGGAGCAAGTATGTTGGACTTCCATCCCCTGGAAGTGCAATATGAGGACTAAGTCCAAAGTTTCATTCAACTAGAATGGTATCTTCAAATAACAGGTTGTGCCATCAAAACCCATTGCCATGAAACTCCAAGAACTGTTAGACCTGAACACCAGCCAGGATGTCACTTGATACCCACAGCTGGTGGTGGGTGGGCCCACAATGCCTTCATAGTAATGCCTTGCCTTCAAAGGGGTACCTCACCATGCTGACCATTTCCCAAGAAGAAATAAGATGACCTTCAATTTTCTTGAGGAGCCATTAATGTCATAGTTTTACTGTGGTCTTCTCCCCATCCCCAAAGAGTCAAATGTGAGTACAGCTTTTCCTATGAGAGATTAATTAGGTCTCTTGTCATGACCAGGAATGTGAACTTGGGGTGGAGTTCCTTGGTCTTCTCCACAGTCCCTTGACTCATTTGCAGAATAAGTAATAATTAGACACCCTTGAGCCACCAGCTGGAGGAGTGATGGTGACCTTGTGCTAGTCATGTGATTGACCACTCATTCCAGCATACCTTTGACCATCTTGACATTGGCATGGGAGAGTACACCATATTGAGATAAACCTATCATAGGATTTTTCTTCCGTGGCCAACAAGAAAGTGGACAGTGTACCATGCTTGTCCTGTAGCATTCCTTTATAATAGTGAGCATTCCTTTATAATAGTGCCATACCATGTGAACAACACTGTCAAAGGATGCATATTTTGCTGAACGTATATAGTTATGGATAACACCCATGGGTGATTTTGCCATAGGTAAAATGAATTTTGAATTCTGCAATACACATCTGCTATCTTGAAAGGGAGAAATTGCCCAAATAGATAAAGTAGACAGCATTCTTAAGTTCCTTGGCCAGTGTAATCGTAAACAGTTTTGGGATGCCCTCAACTAATTTAAGATATCTTAATATGCACTAGCCTGTGTAAGGAATCCCTGACATGACATTTTCTTTGACTTTTCTGGCCCAGCTTTCTAAAATTGACTTTGGCAAAGTACAAACGTTTCTGTTTCCTTATAGACTACAGGAACCCTTTGGTTCTGTTAACTGTAGATAATTCATATAACTCCCCATTCCCTTCACACTCCAGTTCTTGAACACAGGCTACATGTTTAATTAGGACTTGTTGTATTGTTGCTAAGTTGTGATGCAAGAGAGAAAGAGCTGAGAATTGATCTCTCCAATGATGTTTGGCATTAAACATCATCCCTATCCTATATATCAAGGAAGTGTAGCAATGTCTGTTGAATGTGCTGGAAATGTCTGAGAGCTTATGTGAATATGGTTCATAGTTCCCAAAGCCATGAAAAGATTATGAATTTCTTGGTGGATATTGTTGTAAATTAGATGGTTGGCAATTCACCTCACTTCAGTCCATTATAGTACTGAGACAAAGGACAGACTGTATATATTCTGAGTCTTATGATTAAGGGCTGGATCCAGATACATACTACAACCTTATGCATGTCTTTTCAGGTGCAAGCCTTATTGAGTTCAATAGGGATTTATTTGAATGTATAGAAATAAATACTGTGCTACTGTACTTTCTAGAGACAGTCTAAGCAATAAGCATTTGCTAGAGGCAGTCAAGGAAAGCAGCTAAAACAATCTACCTTGTGCTTACTTCAAGGAATAGAAACAGTGGAAGAACAATGAAAGCAAATGCATGAATTCTTTCTGCAAATTGGCAGAGTTACAGTCCAATTCCATCATCAAAGTTGTTTACTTTTGTTTTGTTTTCTTCCTATTTTTCTTTTATGTCCTATTCTCATCATGGGTCACTTGGTGTTCATCTAAGTGGAAGGGTATTATGACCATAATAATAATGGTAACAATAATAGAACATTTTCCTCAGGAATTCCACAGAGAATCCTTTGGAAAAAAAAGTGATGAATTCCTTTCCCTTTGATTATCAAATTTAATTATCCCTTTAATTGTTTAATTATCAAATGGAATGTAATTAGTTCTGCTTGCAAGAACTCCAATGGGATTTCAGTGACCACTAGCCAAACTCAGAGCAAAAAGCATGAAAGATGGTGTAAATACCATTTGAAAACCAGTTTAGGAGCAAAGGAGTTTTATACCCCATGGTTCAACTCAGGCCTATCACTGACCAGATTAACTTGCTGAAACCACAAAGACTTTTAAAAGTTGGAGTTGTAGATAAAATAGATGCACCTTTGTCTTGAGTGAAGATTTGTACTTGTACTTTAGCATGAAGGTATTGCTAGTGGTGCTGCTGCTACTGTTTCCTCACATTGGATGCAAGGCTAGCATGATTAAATGCATGATTAAGGATCCACATCCTCCACTTCGCAAGTACCATCAATCAGGAGATGTCCTTATTGGTGGCATTGTTTCTCAGACCTTTATTGTCTTGAGTCCAATGTCCTTCACTAGAAGACCACCACCAGTAGAATTTGAAGAACTGACGTAAGAACTTTAGCATTTTTCCTTTGGTTGTTTTTAATTCTAAAACCTCAGAAACGTGGTGCAGTGAACTAGGCAGAGGAAGACGTTAATGTAATTAAGGAAGAAAATCTCCATAAAAAAACACTGCACGTTGCATGTAAGCTTGTAAACAGCACTGAAATATTTTAAATTCCTCTTAGACTGGTTTCCTCTGCCACCTTCTGTCACACCATGTTTCTCCATGGTTGTTTTGTTTCATGGTATACCTTCCTAACTGTATATAAGCATATATTTCTTTATGCAGCAGCTTTTCATACTAAATATAAATGCAAGATATGGGCACATAAGATATATTTTGAAAATCACAATCCTTTACTTGTCTACTCAAATGTAAGTCCTATGAATTCAATTGGGCTTATGCCTAGGAATTGAGAATAGGATTTCAGCCTAAATTACTTGTTTGGTGTCCAAGGGATAACTTTTAGATTCTTAAAAAAGAAGCAAACAATAAAAATTAAGGAAATTTAGTTTTCATTTCACTTCATCCAATCATGGAGATTCACTTAAATCCCCCTTCTCTAGTACCTCTGATGTTACCAACATTTCTGTAATATCTCTCAAATGAACTAAATGGAATTCTCAAACAAATATGTACAGAAAATGAATTTCAGGTTGCTCAGATAGATTCATCCAATTCTGAGGAGGTAGAAGAAAAAAGGGGGGGCAGAGGTTTTGGAAGTTTCAAAGTTATGTAGTGAAGTTTCTGAGACAGTGTGAGAACCAGCCCTTCTTGGAAAAAGAGGGAGACTTTGTGGAGCTGGAGTGGGAGGGGATGTGGGTGCACTGCCTTGATGGTCTGGAGAGACTAGATGAAGCAAGTTGATCAATTAACACACATCCAGAATTTCTGACATATCATCCACAAGTGGCAGGAGTCACCCTGAGGGTGGAGTCAGAAGCTCCACTGTAAGGGAGGGAAGGAGGGAAAGTTTCATTTTGGATTCAACTCTTTACATGGGTTAAGACCCGAGTGAGACTCTGAATGCCCTGAAAGCTGCTGTTCACCACTGATCCCCAACCAACCTGACTGAGATGGAACAGTGCTGCTAGTAAGCAAAGAGAGATTTGAAGATCCCAGATGCACTAAGCTAATGGAGACTTACCCAAGAAGACTTTCCCAAGGATTAATTGTTACAGTAGGTGTTTCTACTCAATATTGACTCAGGGGTTATTTCTCATTCAAGCATCAGATGTTGGCACTTTCCTTTGTTGTACACCTTCACAGGTGCAGAAGTGCTAAAAATGCCTATCAAATCAATTTCAATTCCATATTGCAATACAGCAAAATGTGGAATAGTCAAAGGGTATTTGTGTGGATACTTCTGCAAGGCGTTGTATTAGGAATATTGTTTTCTGAAGTTGATCACTGAGATTATTTTGTCATCCCACCTTTGTGTAGAACATGTGTGGTATATCCTTCTGATATAGATTGCAACTCTTATTCTAGCATAGTGCCTAAGAATTACCAGCATATCCTGGCATTGGTATTTGCGGTAAAGGAGATCAATGCAAACCCTCATCTCTTACCCAATATCACCTTGGGATTCCAGATCTATGACAGCTACTTAAATGCAAAGTGGACTTATCATGTCATAATACAGCTAATATCTGCAC